TTGGTAATTCAATACCTTTACTAGTCAGGAAAGAGATAACCACTTCCCCCTATCTCCATTCCTCTCTGTTCCTTCTTGGCTGTGCTACTGAGCAGTCCTTTAAGCAGACATGGCCTAATTTCTATCATGGTGTACTGTGAGTGGGATCTGGTGATTTTATAAGATGTAGTTGTTATTGTTAGTTATGTTGTTGTTGCTGTTGTTGTTGGTATAGTTAGTTAGATTGTGTGTCATTATTTGTATGTTGTTGTTGTTTTGTCTCTGAATAAATATTTGTTAAAGTAGACGGACCAGAGTTTATATGTGCATGCGGACATAATAATTTATAGAGTTTGGTAATACACCACAAGGCAGTCCTCCCGTAGCGGATCACCGGGAAGGTGAATATCTGGAGGCTCCTGGGGGATTATGCCGTTACGGCGTTAAGGGGTTAAACATTCCGAGTTGATTTTTACAAATGTGTTATTCTTTTTTTAAAAGAACACACTATGCACCCAAACCACTACATCTTAAAGTAGCATTTTGGTGGATAGCTACTGTGTCTTTTTTGGAAAATGTAAAACATTGCCATTTCAACTGTGACAGTTACTAGAGGCACTTCCCTTTAAGATGTTAGAGTTTCAGAGATCTTTACATGTAGTATCATCACAAACCCAACTAGTACTTTCAGAGTAGCACTGGATTCATTGTCTACACTTGAGCATGCCTGCATACAGGAAATAATATTAGAGGTTAAGAGATTATGGGTATGAAAGACAGTTATCTTACTTTCTGACTCTCATACCATAACAAACCATGACATCATGTGTACATGCACAGTGCTATCACCATTGGACAAAAGAATCATACAGTACAATGATTCTCTATTGAGGAATTGTAAGTACATTGAAGCAAGCACCGGGCCGGACTGGGAAGAAAACTCAGCCCAGGCATTTTTTTATTAAAAAAGGGGGAGAGGCCAGATTTGTCATGTTTTGTCATCACCAATCAGATCATGCGCAGAGCTCTGCTGAAGAGCTCTAGCATGAGAAAAAAGACCTGGTATTTGTTCTGCACAGCGCAAAAAATTTAATAACATACTTGCTGTGTTTGCGTGAGGGTGCTATGTGTGTGTGAGGAAGCTGTGAGTGTCAGGGGTGCAGTGTGTGTGTATTTGTGTGTGTGTGAGGGTGCTGTGAGTGTCTGGAGTGCAGTGTGTGTGTGTGTGAGTAAGGGTGCTGTGAGTGTCAGGGATGCAGTATGTGTGTGTGCAAGAGGAGTGCAGTGTGTGTGTGTGATGGTGCTGTATGGGTAAAGGTTCTGTGTGTGAGGGGTGCAGAGTGAGTGATGGGTGCTGTGTTTGAGTGAGGGTGTTATGTGCGTGTGAGGGTGCAGTGTGTGTGTTGGAGAGTGAAGGTGCTGTGAGTGTCAGGGGTGTAGTGTGAGTGGGAAAATGAAGAAAAGCAAGGAGAAATACTTGGTAGTGATAAAAGGATTAGGAATTTAGGATAGAGGGAGCAGTAGGTCTGAATTAATAGGATGATGGGGTAAAGGGAGGAATTGGGTGAGCGTGATAGGAAGATGGGGGGGAAATGAATGAATAGGTGGGAGAAATGAGGTTGATTAGGATGTGTGGGAATGATAGGAAGATGGGGTGAGATGGAAAAATATCTGAGTCAGCGTGATAGAGGATATGGGATGAGAGGAAACAATGGGTGGGAGTGATAAAAAAAGGGAAGAGAGGAAGGTATGGGTTTGGAGTGATATGAGTAAGGGTGATACAAAATTAATAAAAGGAATGGAACATATCGGCTATGAAGAAAGGTTAACAAATTTAAACCTATTTAGTTTAGAAAAACGTCGCCTGAGAGGGGATATGATAACATTATACAAATATATTCAGGGCCAATACAAACCATTGTGTGGAAATCTATTCACAAACCGGACTTTACATAGGACACGAGGCCATGCGTTTAGACTGGAAGAAAGAAGATTTCGTCTAAGGCAAAGGAAAAGTTTTTTTACTGTAAGAACAATCAGGATGTGGAATTCTCTGCCTGAAGAAGTGATTTTATCAGAGTCCATACAGATGTTCAAACGGCTACTAGATGCATACTTGCAAGAACAGAATATTCAAGGATATAATCTTTCAATGTAGGATAATAACTGCTTGATCCAAGTATAAATCTGACTGCCATTCTGGGGTCAAGAAGGAATTTTTTTCCTAGCTTGTTGCAAAATTGTGCTTCAAACTGTGTTTTTTGCCTTCTTTTGGATCAAAACCAAAAAAACAAATGTGAGGTAGGCTGAACTTGATAGACGCAAGTCTCTTTTCAGCTATGTAACTATGTAACTATGTAAGATAGGAGTGAGGAAGAAAAGTGTTGGACTGATGGAAGGAGTGATAAGAAGAGAGACAGAAATGGGGGGAGTGGGAGTGATATATATATCATATATATATATATACATATAGAGAGAGAGAGAGAGAGAGAGAGAGAAAAACTTTGCCTAAAGTTGTGGGAGGGGCATGTGGGACCTACTTAAGGGACTCCCCCCTTACCTGCATTAACCGTAGTGGTCTCACACTCTGCATGCCCCACCTGCCACTCCCTTATCTCTTTTTTACTCTTCTGGAGTGGGCCCACTTTATTTACTGGCCTACCGCATACGTCGGTTTTGGCACACATCAAGCGACTTTGTCTTATATTCAAGTTTCATCAATACACAGTATTCATTAACATTATAATGGTTGTCCCAAACACAAATAGTTGCACAGAAATGCTTTATTACTTCCTAAGCACGTCCTGATGGATGTTAACTTTTGTATGATAGAAGAGATAATGGATACCACACTCGCCATGCTTCCAGGATACTCAGGAACTGAGGATGGGCAGGTCTCACTTCCAAATATAGAAAATAAATATTGATCCAGGCACTCAAGGATAAAAGCCAAAATATCAGCTTTATTTAGAACAAAACAACAGCGATGTTTTGACCCACCAGGTAAACTGCTTACCCATGGCAAAAACTCAGTCTAGGCATCCTCTCAATGTTTAGTACTAGTAGGGTCACCACAGCAAGGGATGTCCATGTCACTGCCTAAGTTGTATTTTGGCAGGCATAAGCATACTTAGGTCACTTAATACAAACCACATAAAAAGGTGAAAAGCACACAGAATGATAATAGTTGCCTCCTGGTTATAGGTTTTTACATTACAGGAGGCAACTATTATTGTGTATGCTTTTTCACCTTTTTTATGTGATTTGTATTATGTTTACTAGGTGTAAGAGTGCTAGACTTGGGGTGATTTGCTGCACTGGATTGTGTTTTTTGAAAGTGCCTTTTACCCATAATTTTAGCTTGGCAACCGGTTGCATATGTTTGTTGGCACCTGGCAAATATGTTTGTTGAAACCTACTCTGTGTTGCTCCACACTCACTAATCCCTGTGTGTGTATCTCCTGACCCTTCTTGTTTGTTTGTCCTAATCTGCCCTTTCAACTTGTCTGTTTCTTAACCAAAAGTCACACACAGTCACACAGATAGGCACACAGTCACACACGCACAGTCATTGTACAGATGCACTATTATTGTTTTTCCATTATACAATGAATCACACTCCTTTTGGGTTGTACAGGTACCAGCCATATAGGTCCCAATATTCGTAGAACTCTGAATCTACAATTAATCTACCCTCTAGATTGACTTCAGATATGGAAATGCAACTGTACTTGTTCTCTTCACAAAACTGATGGAATAAGAGTACTCAGACAAGGAAAAGGCTATTTTTCTTGATTGTCATTTTAATATTGTAACTGACTTATGGGACCTTGACCTCTGGCATGTTATAAAGATATTCTTATGCCTCACAAATTGGAATAGCTGTTATTATATGACTGACTTACTGGCAAGGCTCCGGACTGGATTCAGGACACCCTCATTTCTTTTTACATGGACGGATGAACTATTTATGACCCGGGTTGTTTAAATGACTGACAACTTCTAGATCTACTACAACTAACCTTTGGATTACAAAGTATTTTGTTTAAGTTACCTATTGCTTCTTGCTCACAAACATCACAAAGAAAGTTCATAACTATTGTTTCACCTTTCTCTATGTTTCTTAATTTTGCTCAGTTACACAAAAACGTGTTACGGGGGGCGGGACTTCCGGTGCTGCAGAAAGGATGCATTGTGGGTTAACTCTGCCGCACCAAAACCAAACAAAGCTACAAAAAAGTGTCCCTCTCAGTCCCAGCGACAAGAGTACAACCTAAAGGTGCATGAATGGAAGCAGCATGTAATGGCACAACCCAAGACCTATAAGGGCTCAAGATTTCTTCGGCCGTGGCAAAAAAGAAAAACTGAGCCCTACCCAAGATGGCGACGGTGCGTCCTTGAGACTGTCTGAAGCGCGTTCAGATGTGGAGTCACTAAGCCTGCCAGGGGATGATCCCTCGGTAACAGAAAAGAGGCTGGCAGACTGTCACGTATTCATCCGCACATAAAAATGTGATTAAAGGCATTTACTGTTCTGACCGGAAAAGTTGCGCCGAGCAACCTTACTGTCCTGACAGGAAAAGTTGTACCGAGCAGCAATCAATCCACAGGAGGGTTTGTGCTGAGCAGCAATCATGCAAATAGGAACCTGGTAACTGACTTTGGGGTCAAAGGCTGGTTACAACCAATCAGATCCACAGGCGGGGTATTTAGGCCCAGTTCTCATCTTGCTCAGTGCTCTGTCGTGGTTTCCCTTGAGGTTGTCCGAGAGCGTGTTATTGATTCTGGTTATTCTGGTTATTTCACTTTGGCATTGATTTTGACTTCCCTGTTTTCTGGCATCCCTCACCCCTGGCTTTTCCTTATTGTTGTGTCTCTTTCTGTGTCCCTTGACCTAGGCTATTTCTGACTATTCTTTGATACTTTAGTCTGGCCCTTTTAAGGTCTGGTATACGTTACCTATCAGTCCTCTGGGTTACACAATTCTACGTGCTGGATCATACTGTAATCCTGATACAGACATGCTCCGGAATCTGCATTCATCTCTAAGGGAGGTTTTCAAACTAATTACGGAAGACCTCCGCAAAGACCTTCATGGGCTCGGGGCGGGAACGGAAGCCCTAGTAGATAAAACGGACGAGCTATGTGTAGCTCACACTGAAATGCTCAATAGGATGGCTAAAATGGAGACAGAACACCTCAACTTGGTGGGCAAATTCGCCGACATGGAAGACCGCTTGCGGCGGAATAACATCACGTTGCGAGGGGTACCGGAATATGTCTTCCAAGAAGAACTCCCGCAGCATCTAATGAGTTTGTTCAAATTCCTCCTACTATCAGTGGCAGACGCAGACCTGTTGATTGACAGAACACACAGAGGGCCCAAACCACGTGGCCTGGCTGCAGACATCCCAAGAGACATCATTGTGAGACTCCATTATTTCCATATCAAAGAGGCAATCCCCCAAGCCCATAGGAAAGCACCTGACCTACTGGAGTACCTGAGAGGAATATCCCTGATTATCAATCTCTCTGCCACCACGATGGCCAAGCGGAGAGAATTTGTCAATACAAAAAAAATGCAATGAAACAACAGGATCCCTTACAGATTTTCCACCAAAGCTGCTTATATGGAAGAAATGAACTCTAACGATAGTAAAGAATCCGGACGACTGGATCAAACTAATGATTAAATGGGGCCTTGCAAAGGACTCTACCCCAGAGGGAGCATCAGCTTCACCAAGAAGACTACAACCAGAATGGAACAAGGTCTCCAAGAAGAAGTAATTCATGTTTAACTCTATCACACCAACTAGGAAATGTTTCCAGTACAGGGCTGTTGTGGATGCCACATTTGCTGATCGAACCATGCAGCAACACGAGACAGAAGTAGAGTTATAATTGCACCCTGTTAATGTACTTTCGGTTAACTATTTCATGGTTTGGTCTCTTGCAACCTCTGGCTTGGGGAGGGGTGAATGGCAGGCGGCCCCGGGATGCCCACACACAGAGCGGGTGGGGCGGAAGCAGGCCAATCGAATGGCCCCCCATAAGTCCATTATTCCCCCAAAAATATATATATAAATGATTGGAAATGACCGCACTCCAAGGACTTGTTGATAGTAAAAATAAAATATAAATTTTATTCTATATAATATCGACGTTAAAAAAAAAAAATATATATATATATATATAATATATAAGAAACTTTTATTCTATATCATATCCTGATGAAATCCCATGTATTGGGGCTGAAACGTTGATATTTTTATATGATATAGAATAAAAGTTATATTTTAATTTTACTATCAACAAGTCCTTGGAGTGCAGTCATTTCCAATAATTTTTTTGTATCTTGTGCCTGACCAGCACCGGGCAATTACTCTCTAATCCAGGAGTGCAAGCATCTCGGTTTTTATACAGTCAGAGGGGGAAAGGAAGTGTTGTTACAAATATAAAAAAAATTATATATATATATATATATATATAAATATATATATATATACAAATTTTTAATTACATTATATTATGTAGGTTAAGCTGCGACAGTTGGCCCATGTATGGTGGGACAGAAAGCTATAGGTCATTCCAGTTTCACATATCGTTAGTTGAGAGGGATATGGATCACACTAAATAAGGCAGATGCCGGTCGTTTGTTGGTCCAACTATACCCCCCCAATACCCCCAACACACAAGGTCGATAGCCTACAGGTGAGTTGATAAATAGGTACTCTAATCAAACGTTAGTAAAGACCTAACCAAAATTTAATATGTAGGATGTTTATGTATATAGCTATGTTATAGTTTTCGGTTTAACTTCATTGTATGGGTCAGGAACGGTAAACTGTATGCACATCCACCCAGTCACAGAACTCCCACATCAGGACCACAATGCACCTCCTCATAAGACACGATGATTGGTACTTTTTCAGCTCTAACTCTTAACGTCAATGGGTTGAACTTCCCATACAAACGGAGGCTTGCCTTGGCCTACATAAAAGCAAACTATATCACTATAGCGTGTTTTCAAGAAACACATTTCTGCAACAAAAACCCACCAACATTTTCCTCCATGGAATATCCACAGGTATTTAACGCGCACACGCCCAATAAGACTAGAAGCAATATCCATAGGGATTAGACGTGCGAAAAGATGGGGTAGGCAGGACACTAATTCTTATTGGTACTCTAAATAACATACCGATAACGAATATTTATGTCCCCAATGACAACCAGATACATTTCTTCACCAAGACCCTAGGTAAAGTGAATAGAATCAAAAAAGGCCAATTAATTTTATGTGGGGACTTCAACTGTGTGATGTACATCTCACTTGATCTGCAAAGCAAGACTCAGGTCAGCAGAAGGAACAATAGAATGGGCAGACAATTGACCGAACTGTTAGGAAAGTACGACCTACATGACACTTGGCATACACTTCACAGATAGGAGCCAGGGCAAAGAGGGAATGGTAGAAGGAGATGGACTCCCTCAAACGCAGAGTGGAGGAATTGGAAAAGCTACACAAACAAAACCCAAGAAAAAACTAGGTCACAAGCTTACACAAGCAAGGAACGCATTAAACAGACAGCACTTGCATATTACTGAGAGACATAGGCAAACATTAAAGCACACATACTATTTCCAAGGCAATTAGGAGGGTAAATTACTAACTTCCCAACTGAAAGCCAAATATGCACAAACCAAAATAGCATCCATATACAACAAAGAAGGAACTAGAATATCTAATCCGATGCATATTCTTAAAAATTTGCAAACTAGTTTGAAACACTCTACAATCTAAAAGATTGTGGGGACGTCGTACAGCCTACGAATGACAGTATAGCACAATTTTTATAACACATTGATCTCCCAAGCTTGGCTGACGATAAGGTACAGGCCCTAGACACCTCCTTCACCCCGGAGGAGATCCAAAACACTATCAAATCACTGCCTAAACATAAAGCCCCGGGCCCAGATGGCCTCTCTAACTTATACTACATGACCTTCACAGATATACTGGTGCCTCAAATGACGACTCTGTACAACGAAATAATGACGACAGGCACAATGCCGCCGAAATGTTAGTGGCAAATATCATCACACTTCTGAAAACAGGCAAACCACCAACCAAGTGTGAAAACTTCCGCTTGATTTCGCTACTGAATGCGGATACAAATATATTTAGTTTTTTCAATTGCATAAAACCACTACTGCCCTCACTGGTAGCCAAGAAAAAAGCTGGGCTTGTACCGGGACGTCAGGCAGGGGACAATACCAGACAATTTATGGACGTCATGGAGCTACTATATAGGCGGGGAGAAGCAGGGCTTTTGGTGGCGCTGGATGCCCAAAAAGCTTTTGACCGATTACATTGGGGTTACATGACAGTAGTTCTCTGCAAATTTGGCTTCCCAACCAAATTTATACAAGCTATGCTAGCCAACCCCTCTGCCAAAGTACTAAAAACAGGTTTCCTATCAAAACCCTTCTAACTAATTAACGGCACCCAAAAGGGTTGCCCACTTGTTCCTTAATCTTTATCCTCACAATACAACCATTCAACTACACGACCATATCACAGGGGTAAATACCCAGATAGGTGAACTTGCATTGTTCGCAGACATACTACTCATCCTCACTAACCCACACGTCTCACTGCCCTCCATAATGGACCTCCTACAGACATATGGGTCAGTCTTCTATTACAAATAAAATATTACAAAAACACAAGCATTCACTAGCAACATGACTAAAAAGGACAAAAGTTTCCTTTCATCCCAGTTCAAGATTGATTGGCGGGAAAAAAACCTAACATACCTAGGGATACAACTTGCAGTCAATAGGCATACTTTGATCAAAGAAAACAATTTAAAATTAGATGCCACGTTACAGCAAACACTACATTCCTGGGAGGGAAAGTCGGTCTCATGGCTCGGCCAAGTCAACTCCATTAAAATGGTGGTACTTCCACAAATCCTCTTCCTATTTTGCACCCTACCTTTAGAGCTCCCGAAACCACTACTGAGCAAATTCCAGAAACTGATTAACGCACACATATGGAAGTGCAAACCACCCCAAATAGCTGCCTGAAATCTATACTATCACCTACATGAGGGCCAGTGGCGTACACAAGATTCATGGGGCCCCGGTGCGAAAATTGATCCGTGCCTCCCCCCACCCGCGCGCGCGCTTACAGAAGGCGGGCACCTGGTCACACCTGGTGACCGCGGTGTGCCGCCAGTGCATGCAGATACACTTAAAGGACCACTATAGGAACTCCGATCACTTCAGCTCAATGAAGTGGTCTGGGTGCCAGGTCCCTCTAGTTTTAACCCTGCGGCTGACAACATGGCAGTTTCAGAGAAACTGCTATGTTTCACTGAGGGTTAATCCAGCCTCTAGTAGCGGTCTCACTGACAGCCGCTAAAAGTGCTTTCATGACTCCTCTGGACGTCCATAGGAAAGCTTTCCTATGGACGGTTTGAATGCGCGCATGCGCATTCGGAACTGAGAGGCGGATCGGGACAGAGAGATCCCCAGCACCAAGAAAGCCCGGCCTTGGAAAAAGGTAAGTGCTGAAGGGGTTTTAACTACACACACTCACACTCTCACAAACAGAAGCATACAAACTAGCTAACAGACACACACATTTACTGACAAACACACACTCAGTGACAGACACACATACACACTCACTTACAAAACATACACTCTCACTGACAAACACACACTTACTGACATTCACTCACTAACACACATACACACTCACATATTTTTTTTTTTTATTTAAGCCTCCCTACCTTTTGTCACAGTGGGGGTTCTGGGTCATATTCTGGCTCCGGCATCAGTGCGATGCGTGCCAGGAAGCTGGGCAGAGAGCACTCAGGGAAGAGTGCTCCCTCGTGCTCCCGCCTGACCGCCGGCAAACTGAAGCCACTGCCAGCCTCAGCCCTGAGCTGGCCAGGGGCCCCCCAGGAGAAGAGTCTGGCAAAATGTGGCCACACTGGCGTGCATACCAGGTCGCAGGGCGACCGGGCCCCATGGATGCCCGGGCCCAGTCGCAGCCGCGACCCCTGCAACCCCGGTATGTATGCCACTGATGAGGGCGGACTAGGAGCCCCAGACATATACAGGTATTATATAACAAAGTCACTAGATCAGTTACTCAGTGACTCTGAACAACCTTTGTGGGTATTGTTGGAACATAGTAATAAATAATTCTACAACACCTGTTCCTGACTTTAATGTGGGTCCCAGCACATCTACACCCTCCTAACATAAACCCTTTCCAAACTACCAAACAAACTTGTAGTATATGGCACAAATGGGAGGAGAGACTCCTGAAACCAAACCACCTAACTTTCTGTGCCCCGATACAATGCTTACAATATTACACGCCTGATATCTCACTTAACATCTGGGCACAATTGGGGATAGAGAGAGTGGCAGATATATATCATGACTCGAGATTGATGCCTTTCCCAGACATACAAAGTAAATACAACTTGCCACTGAGAGAAATCTTCACATATCTGAGGATCAAACATATAGTGTCTCAATTCCCTAGTGACACCTCAGAGTTACG